CCAGAAAGGCCCCTGAATCAGGCCAGTCCCTCATTCACTTGCAATTACAAACGGATTTGCTGGGGGCTTCCCTCCTCTCCCACTGCCTGGATAACTCTGGCCTGCACTCCCCACACACACCTCTGCTGCCCAGATCCCCCATCTCCCTGCCTACACTCCCCACACACACACCCCTGGTGCTGGGGTGCCCCACCCCCCCACCTGCACTCATTCCCACACTCCCACTGCTGCCTGGATCCCCCATCCTCCCCTGGCCTGCACTCCCCCGCCTGGATCTCCCTTGTCCCCTGGACTCTGCTCCCCACTCTGTCCCCTTCCCCATCCAATGTCCCCTCAGCTTGTGCCCCTGCTGGGAGCCTTCCCCTACAAACCCCCCTGTGTCCCTCCCCAAACTGAGACTGAACCCTGGAGTCCCGGCTCCCAGCGACCTGAGTGGTTAACGCCTGCCTCCCCCTTCTGCTCCTGCCAGGCTGGGGCGCATATTTCTTCCAGCAGCCCATGGACCAGGTGGTTGTGGCAGGGGGGGCGGGGGGTGGGTCTCCAGGGGGGTGCTGTGCTGGAGGTAGGTCCCCAGGGGGTGCTGTGCTGGGTGTGGGTCCCCAGGGGGGGCTGTGCTGGGTGTGGGTCTCCAGGGGGGTGCTGTGCTGGAGGTAGGTCCCCAGGGGGTGCTGTGCTGGGTGTGGGTCCCCAGGGGGGGCTGTGCTGGGTGTGGGTCTCCAGGGGGGTGCTGTGCTGGAGGTAGGTCCCCAGGGGGTGCTGTGCTGGGTGTGGGTCCCCAGGGGGGGCTGTGCTGGGTGTGGGTCTCCAGGGGGGTGCTGTGCTGGAGGTAGGTCCCCAGGGGGTGCTGTGCTGGGTGTGGGTCCCCAGGGGGGGCTGTGCTGGGTGTGGGTCTCCAGGGGGGTGCTGTGCTGGAGGTAGGTCCCCAGGGGGTGCTGTGCTGGGTGTGGGTCCCCAGGGGGGGCTGTGCTGGGTGTGGGTCTCCAGGGGGGTGCTGTGCTGGAGGTAGGTCCCCAGGGGGTGCTGTGCTGGGTGTGGGTCCCCAGGGGGGGCTGTGCTGGGTGTGGGTCTCCAGGGGGGTGCTGTGCTGGAGGTAGGTCCCCAGGGGGTGCTGTGCTGGGTGTGGGTCCCCAGGGGGGGCTGTGCTGGGTGTGGGTCTCCAGGGGGGTGCTGTGCTGGGGGGGGGGATTTGAGGTTCCCTAGGGGGCACCAGGCTGTGAAGGGGATGAGGGGTTCCCAGAGGGTACTATGCTGGGTGTGGGTCCCCAGGGGGCGCTGTGCTGGAGGTGGATCCCCAGGGGGGTGCTGTGCTGGGGTGGGTCCCCAGGGGGCTCTGTGCTGGAGGTGGGTCCCAAGGGGACATTGTTGAGGGGGCTGGAGGGGGCTGTGCCAGTCTCTGCAGTCTGTACCTCTCTCCCTCAGGCTGGCCCCGCTATTCCATCATTGGGGACCCGGCTGCCGGGCAGCACAACCTGAGGATCGAATCTGCTGACCTGGGTGACGATGCCGCGTACGAGTGCCAGGCAACGCAGGCGGCCCTGCGCTCCCAGCGTGCCCAGCTCACTGTGCTCCGTGAGTGCCCCTCCCCTGTCAGCCTAGGGCACTGCTCTGGGGAAGCTCACCCCTTTGCAGCCTCTCCCCCGCCAGCTTCGGGTACTGACATGGGAACTCCCATCCCATCACTAACCCCTTGTCCCCATCTACCCTCCAGTGCCCCCCAATGACCCTGTGATCCAGAATGGCCCCATCGTCCGGGTCCAGGCCAGTGTGCCCTACAACCTGACCTGCCAAGTGTCGGGCGCCAAGCCCGCCCCTGAGATTAGCTGGTATCGTGATGGGCAGATGCAGGATTCAGCCCTCTACGCCAAGGTGAGTGAGAGGGGTAGGGTATTAAAGGGGCAGCCCAGATTGTGTGGACAAGGTATTAAAGGGGCGGGCCTAGCTATGTGGGGCAGGGAATTAAAGGGGTGGTCTGGGTGGGTGGGTGTGAGACAGGATATTAAAGGGGTGGGCCTGGCTATGAGGGGTAGGGAATTAAAGGGACCATGGGCTATGGCATGAAGGGATTCTCCTTCCCAGCCCCCGGGACCCAAAGAGGGTGGCCCAGGCCCCCAGGCTGAGGCTCAGCTCTGCCCCCCAGGCCCTGATGGAGGATGGAAAGCGGGCAATGGCCGTCAGCACCCTGCTCCTCACGCCCAGCACCCGGGACATGGGCAGCACCTACACCTGCCGCGTCGCCAACCCAGCCGCACCCGCCGGCAAGCAGACCTCCGTCAGCCTCGACGTGCTGTGTGAGTCCTGAGCCAGGCCATGGGCGCAGGGAGGGGCTTGGCCTGTGAGCACAGCAGAAGGCGCTGTGCTGCGGGGAGCTGGGTGGGGCCTGGAGGGGGCGCTGTGCTGCGGGGAGCTGGGTGGGGCCTGGAGGGGGCGCTGTGCTGCGGGGA